CTCTATCCACTGCACCACCTAGCTGCCCCTGAACTGAATTTTTTAAAGCCTTGAAAGAACAGACATACAGTTGTTGTTTGGTTGAGCAAATGATGCTTTTTCTCTGAAATTATTGAATGCGATTGACAAATGTGAACGGTACATATTTGGGGGTGAAATGAGTGTTTCATGCCTGCATGTGTATGAGATATGGGTGCAAATGTGTGTGTGTGTGTGCGTGTGTGTAGGGGAGGGAGGATTGGACATCTCTTGGCCACACCCAACACAATCCCAGGTAAGCCTGGTCCCCAAAGCAGGAATTCCGAGAGCTACCTCTCCCTTCTCGTTGCGAATGCGGCGGTTGAATTCCTTCCCTTCTAGGCACAGGAAGTCTTCCCCAGGTTGGATGATGCCGCACTTGGCGGCAATGGCGCGGGCAGTATTGATGTTGTCTCCAGTCACCATGCGCACTGTGATGCCGGCGCGCTGACATTTGCGGATGGCTTCAGGAACCTACAAGAAGCAAAAAAAAAAATGGAAACCCCATCTCCTTCCGCCTCCCCACATCCGTCGGTGCTTTTTCACTTTACATACAGATCGTTTCCCTGTTGGCTAAGAGTTTCACAGAAGATCACAAGATCCTCACAGAGGATCACAAGATCCTGAGAGAGATCTCAGAGGTCCAGCTCTCTCATTTTACAGAGGAGGAAACTGAGGCCCATGGAGGGGTCTCATAGGTCACATAGAGAATCGTAGGATCCTAGATTGAGAGTTGGCAGGGACCCCAAAGGCTGGCTAGTCCAAATCCTCATTTTACCAAGAAGGAAACTGAGGTCTACCCAAGATCATAAACTATTAAGTGACAATCAGGATCTGAACCCATGTCCATAGACTCCAAATTGATCGAAGATGTGTTTCCCATGGAAGGAGATGTGTAGTGACTGGAGGCTGTGCTGCATAATTTGGTAATGCAAGAACTTTAGCCGCAAGGGTGCAATACAACTGTTAACCTCCAGTATTGAACATGTGGTTACACAGGAAAGGGATAAAACTTGTTCTCTTTGGCCCTAGAGGTTAGGATAGAATTTGGAGCAATGGGTAGAAGATGCAGAGAAAAAGTTAGGCTCGATGTTGGGGAAAACCCCCCACCCGCCCAGTGAGAATTGTCCCAGAGTGAAAGGGGCTGCCTCCCAAAGGGGGCAGATTACCCACTTCGCAGATATGTTATGGAGAAGATTCTTGGTTGGGCCGGATTTTGAGAAGACCTGGGTTCAAATCCTGCCTCTGGCATTGATTATCTATGTGACCTTGAGCAAGTCCCTTCTCCTCTGGGCCTCAGTTTCCTCATCTGGAAAATGTGAGGGTTGAACTAGATGGTCCTGAAGTCCCCTTCTGTCCTACATATGTGATCAGATAGCATATATTTATGATATATGCTATGATATGAAATCCAGGCTCTGCCACTCGCTATCTGTGCGACCGTGCGCCAGTGTTTTTCTCTGTCTGGGTCTCAGTTTCCTCCTCTGTGAAACAAGGGGAGTTGGGACTCGGTGGCCTTGAAGGTCCCCCCCCCCCAGATCTACAATCTTCTGCAGATTGGGGTCCCTCCTACCTGGGAGGGAGCTTTTATACTTCTCTGATTGAATTGCTGTGACCCTAGACCACCGCCTTCCCATCCATGGGGCAGTCAGTCCTGCTGCATTACTCATTTTGACAGTTCATATTTGTTACAGCATGATTGCTATACTAGCCAACAATTTGAGCATAAAGATAATTTCACATTTGCTTAGAAGAGATTTCGTCCATGAAATTCAGAAAACTGCCCCACTTCACAGTAACTCTCAAGCTACAGCCCTCCCCACTTCCACAAGCAAACCTCAGGTCTTTTTCAAGGTAAAGTGCCATATTTCTTGTCTATCTTCTGGGGCTGAGGGATCTGTGGGGCAAGGAGGGCTGGTCCAAACCCAGGCACTGTTCTCCTCTCCCCCGTTCCGTGTGCTCAGCCTCAACTTCTCAAGGTTAGCCCAAGACCAAGACCGTGGGCCACTTTCGTTGGGAGCCCTCTGTCCCTCGTCTGGGATAAGGAACACCAATTTTCACAGAGTGGAACGCCAAGAACAACTTAGGACAAACAGGATTGAAGTCTGAGGTCTTTGTTTTCAGTTTCAGTGCCTACTGGGGAGATGGTATCTGTCCTTGAGACTTTCATAATCTAGTAGGGGTGGCAAGATGTAACAGAGGAAAAGTTATTCAGCAATACTAGACAGCTTATGCTAAGTAAGAGTTTAATAAGCTGCAAATATAGGCAATGAGGCCTATAGAAGGTGTGTGTTTGGGGGAAGACGATGGGGATTGGGATAGGCAGGGAGGGCGTCCTGAGGGCAAGCTGAGCCTTGAAGGACAGGCAGGGAGGAGGGAAGGGGGTGTTGGTGGTCAGATGAGGGAAGACAGGGAGATGGGAAAAAAGGGCCTGACATATTTCAGGGATGTAAGAAACCTGACCAGGAAGGAAAGGGTATGTGTTTGTATAGCCTGGGCAGAGAGGTTGGCTGGGGCCAGATGAGAAAGGCCTTAAAAGTCAAGCTTAAGTAACAGCTTCAGTTAGGTGGTGCTGCAGTGGCTAGAGCACCAGGCCTGGAGTCAGGAAAACCTAAGTTCAAATACGGCCTCAGACACTTCCTAGCTGAGTGACCCTGGACAAGTCATTTGACCCTGTTTGCCTTCAGTAAAATGAGCTGGAAAGAGAAATGGGAAACTATTCCAGTATCTTTGCCAAAACCCCACCCCCCCAAAATGGGGTCATGAAGAGTCAGACATGACTCAAAAAAATGACTCAGCCATGGTAACAACAAAGTACTTGTTTGTGTTGTGGCAGTTACTAAATGCGTAGAGAAACAGGGAATGTACCTCACCAGTTTTAATAGCAATGCCATTGTTCTGGTCCTGTAAAACTGTCTTTTCTCCCTGCCTTTCCCCCGTCAGTGGCCTCATGAGCTCATGCAGAAAATTCATTTGATACAATAGCTATCGCAATTATAGCCTCTGGAAGAATAGAATGACCCACTTCTCTGGAAAATTGATTTTATACCTTAAAAAGCAATTGAAAGTGTCAAGGTAGGATTTGGCAGTCTTCTGGAAGAATCCCTGCCTCAAGTGCCATTCAAAGTGATTGCAGTCTTTTCTACCCGAAGCTTTTAGACCACTTATGATTTCAATGTTTTATTGTTGGGTTTGTCATCAAAAACAGCTCAAAAACTAACTACTTCTGCCTGCTGAAAATGAAAAACCAGATATTTTCTATTAAATTAACAACTTTTTATACTATTTTTATGCAGCCTTCTCATGTCTGCATTGTGTTTAAAAGAGAAGAAAATGATTCACATGTGAGTACTTAATAAAATCCATATACAGTGCATCTTTTCATGTGGTTAGGGCCTTACATTTTTAATTCGTGCACAAATTGTCAGGCATACTTGTTGAGTTTTAGATGGAGTAACATCTTTTCATATATTAATATTTATTTATTTATTCATTCATTCATTTATTTTTTAAGGCAATTGGGGTTAAGTGACTTGCCCAGGATCACACAGTTAGAAAGTGTTAAGTGTTTGGTCTGAGGCCGGACATGTATTAATATTTAAAAAAAAAATTAAAGTTAAAAAAAAAAAGCCAGAGCCCTCATCACCTTCACCTCTGAGATTCCCTAGATCCCCTCAGGACTTGGCTTGAGGGCCATGTATTCTTATATGATGCCTTCCTTGTTTGATACTGACAGTTCCCAGTGACCTCCCACCCCAATTACATTGCATTCACTTTGTAGATATTTTACATGTATTTATATGTGTATGTGTTGTTTCTGTCAGTCAGGCCACAAACATTTCTTAAGTGCCAGGCACTGTGCTAAGTGTTGGGGATACAAAGAAAGGCAAAAGACAATCGCTGCCCTCATGGAGCTCACCGTCTAATGGGGGAGATATGCTCACAACTACTTACAAACAAGCTAAAATTGGAGATAATCGATAGAGAGAAAGCATTAAAACTAAGGGGGTTTGTAAGGTCAGATTTTTAGTTGGGACTTGAAGGAAGTCAGAGGAGCCAGGATGTGGAGATGAGGAAGGAGGGAATTTGAGGCATAGAGGACAGCCAGAGAAAATGCCAGGCTAACTTGCTGTTCCTCCAACAAGGATCCTCACTGGATCAAAGAGTACATGGAGTAGAGGAAGGTGTAAGAAGACTGGAAAGGTAGGGAGAGGCCAGGCTGTGAAGGGCTTTCAAAGCCAAAGAGGATTTTATATTTGATCCTGAAGGTTAACAGGGGGTCACTAAAGTTAATAGAATGGAGAGGCTGGTAGGGAGGTGGCATGGTCAGACTTGTGCTTTAGGAAGATCAATCTGACAACCAAGTGCAGGATGAGCTGGAATGGGGAGAGACTTGTGGGAGAGAGATCAACCAGAAGGTTCTTGCAATAGTTGAGGTTTGAGGTGCCCTAGATTGGTGGCGGAGTCAGAGGAGAGAAGGAGGCTTATGCAAGAGATCTGGGGAAGGTCAAATCAACAGGACTTGGCAGTAGATTGGATATAGGGAGAGTGAGGAGTTGAGGCTGGTGTGAGCCTGGGTGACTGAAAGGATGGTGGTGCCATCTTGGATCCATTCAGTCTACCAGCATTTATTAAGGACCTACTATGTGCCAGACACTGTGCTAAGCTTTGGGGAGACAAAACGAGTTCAGTTTTGGACATTTTGATTTTGATATGCCTATGGGACATCCACTGTGAGATGTCCAGTAGGCAGTTGGAAATGGAAACCTGAGGTCAACTGCGTGGTTAGGGCTGGGTAAGTAGATCTGAGAATCATCAGCATAGAGATGCTCATTGAATCCTTGGGAGCCAATAAGATGGAGTGAAGTCAGATAGAGGGAATGACCTGGAAGAAGATCCAGCAAAGGAGATTGCTAATACAATGTAAGGTCCTTGAGGACAGAGCCCATTTCAGTTTTCTGTCTCCCCAAAGCTTAGCACAGTGTCTGGCACATAGTAGGTCCTTAATAAATGCTGGTAGACTGAATGGTTCCATCTTGTGATCAAATAGGTGGAGTCCATATCAGTTGCTTCTTAGTCTCTGCTGCCCCCAAGTGGCAGCTAAGAGTCAATCTGAGATGGAAGAAAGCTCAGGAGGCAGAGAATCCAACTTCCCTGAGCCTGTTGGGAATCCCCTCTAGAGGATATATGACAGTGGCTTGAAGTTGCCCAATAACGGGGAGCTCACTACCTCATGAGGTAGCGTTCTCCATTGGTGGACACTTTTGATTTTTTTTTTCTTAGCATGAACTTGAAATCAGCTCCTCTGAAATTTCTATCCATTGGTTCTAGTTCTGCCCTTTAGAGGAAATTTTGAATCCTTTCAAATACTGGAAAATAGCTACCATGTAACTCCTACTTCTTTTTTCCTCCAGGATAACCATCTCCAGCTCTTTCAGGTGACTCTTAAATGGAATGCTCACTGATAATTAGCT